CCTGCAGGTCCGGCTGTAGCTAGCAGCAAGGTGTAGGATAGTCAATCCAGTATAGATCTATACGCAAACTCATGCTCTCCCTCCAAGAGAATTCTGGCTACAACTCGGGCCATGACATTTAAGGCATGCTCCGATACAGTGGATCACAATTGTTGACGTATTCATGTATATGAAATGTAATGTTACTTGTTCTAGTATCGTTGTATATGTTCTCTTCCTAGTATAGTTGTATATGTTCTTCTATAGTATAGTTGTATATGTACTCCTAGTAATGTAATGCATATGTTCTTATTGTAATAAGTATTGACTCATGAATGAAATGACTCATTGATCTAGAAATTGTAGTAGTATGATCCTGTGTTACCCTGATGGTAACTTATTAATGATGTAACTAGTACGCATGAATATGGAAGTACTTTTATGTCTATATATGTATATTTGATATATAATTAATATTGAAACGACCTTCGGATGGCTACCCGAAATCCCACCAGACCACATCTCAAGCGCGAAAAGGAAATAGGGCGGATGGCCTTCCTAAGCCCTTTAAACATTTCTTATATATCTATACATATATGGGCATGCAATTTATAAGAAGTAAAACAAAGTTTAATAAAAGCATTTGATAAGTAAAAGAGTTTGTAAAGCATTTTGAAGTAAAACAGTTTGATAAACAGTTTGAACAGTGATAAAATCATTGGTTTTCTAGTTATTAATCGCATGTGATTAATGTAATCACATGTGATTGATGTAATAACTATAAGTATTTAACTTGTATCCCCCATAAAGTATTTAAAACATTTAAAAGCATTTCAAAGGTTAATTAAAGGGGTATGAACTCTTGTCTTGGTGTTTTTGGGTGTTTTAAAGTGTTAAATGATTTCTAGAATAAGCCTAGCATGGTTGGTTTAATCCTTTAGGTAGTTTAGGGCCTTAGAATGCTCCTTTGAGGAGTTTATGGCCTAAAGACCATATCCCCTAGAGTTTACGGCCGTAAACTCCTATGGGGTGGGTGTTTTAATTCATTCAAGCCTCTTGCACACAAAGGATAATTTCTAGACTTTTGTTTAAGGCTAAAGGGGACCTTAGGCACACTTTGGTGCCTTTACTTGGAGTTTACGGCCCAAGAGTTATTCCTTGGCCGTAAACTCCCTTTAAGGGGTGTTTTTGATGTGTTTAAGTCTCCAAAATAGCTAGAAGTATCAGGGGGTTAATGTCTTAAAGCCTTAGGAGTGATTAGGGCACATTTAAGCCCTTGAAATTTGTGTTTACGGTCCAAGAAACTCTTGGGCCGTAAACTCCTAAAACTAGGTGTTCTTGATTGTGTTCTAGCCTTAAATGATCATACATAATGTCCTTAACTAGTTACCTAACAAGGAAATGGGACTAGATAGCCTTTAGGCTTCGTTTTGGAGTTTACTCCCCAAGAACGTTCTTGGGCGGTAAACTCCCGGATCTTACATATTTGACATGTAAACAATGTTATTAAGCATATAACAAGCATTAAAACACATCTAGGAAAGTAGACTCATGATTTGGGATGAAAACCCGAAGATCCGTGAGAGAGAAAATGGCTTTTCTCTAGTTGGAATTATGAATAATGAATGAATTTAGTTCAGAAATCTATTTATAGTCCTGAAATATTTTTGGTAGAAAATATTTTTATTCTGGAATTGATTTCTAATATATCCGAGTGTTGGAATAACAGTGTCGCACAAAACCGTAGTGCATCCACTCTCCTGATATTTACTGAAGTGTAAACCCTAAATTACTCCAACTTATACGAAAAGTCTGAAAATCGATTATGACTGTTATAACTTCTATTGAAGTGATACTGTTTGTATAGAATGGAAACTTCGAGTTGTCACAGCTATATACCTAATGTAACATTTGGTTGCAATCTTGAAGTAATTTAATTGAGAAAAAAAAATAACAAAAATAAAAAAATCAAAAACTTATCACAAATTCTATATATAAAAACTACATATATGTTTCTAATATAAGTCCAAGCAAACGTTATAGTTTTTATGAAACTCACCAAAACATCAAACCCTAACAAACCTAATAACGATGTCGATAGAGTTGTTGATAGTCGACTTGGCCTCCTTTAAGTGCTCTAACTGAGTCCCTAACTACAAGATAGTATCTCTTATCTCTTTAAATTTCCCAAATGCCAACCGTGGTTAACTTCTTTCTCTCCCAGGCTAAATGTTCCTTTTTATTTGAATGATTTATTTGTGAACTCTTAACGAAGTAGAGAAAGTAAAAAAAAAAATATATACCAATGTTCTTGAGTTGTCTTTTTGTATATTATGATGTCTTATGAATTGTGGTTATCACTTTATCAATATGTTTTATAAATTTAGTGTTTTAATGTTTTGGAATATAGGGGTATATCGTATATTGACTTATGAATTGAGTTTATCACTCTATAACTATGCTTTATAGCTTTAACTTTTCAATGTTTGGTATAAAGGTGTAGCACATTGGCATATTTTAGGGTGGGGGTGAGGGAGGGTGACAATGGGCTTCTCATTTTTTGGTTTTTAATATTAATATAATATAATATAATACTTAGAGAGATTATAAAACAAGAATTTTGTTTATTGATTTAACTATTTTAAACATTAACTTTTTGATAAATATTACACATATATTTTTAAGTTATTAACAATAGAAAACAAAAAGAATAACAATTTATTCGTAGTAAAAAAGGATCAGTCAATCATTCTATCGTCAAACAAGTTCCGAAATACCATTGTAATGAATAATCGGTTGTGAAAGAACATAGAGAAGAAGAAGTTGAATTGAGTATGCCAACAAAAAATGAATGAAATTCAAGAAGTTGTGGAAAAACCTAAAGAAGAAGTTCATGATGTTGTAGAAAAACCTAGAGAAGAATATGTATTGTAAGTGCCAGAAGATATGTATTATGTATATGTAGATGGAGACATAGTCACCTTGAATGGTAATGATGGTAACAAAGAATATATTCAATGAATATCTATGATCATAGAAACAAGAACATCTAATGAGTGAAGACATGATGTTGTGGTAGCGAATTTACGATATGTTTGTTAGCAACTTTGAGTTTTGAATTTAGTGATAGCAAATTTCTTTGATGGTATTTTACAAGAAAAAATTTATGGGTCCTTACTTTGATTTTCGCACAAGGCCTCCGATATGTAAGGGTCAGACCTGTTCGTCACATTGAGATAGACTATAATTTCATACAAGAGCGGTCACTCGTGGATTTTTAAAGCTACACTATATCTCCACCGATAATCAGTTAGTAGATTTGTTAACAACGGGCCTTTCTAAAGTCAGGTTTAACGTCTTATCTGTCAAGTTGCATCTTCCTTACGGTCGTCTTACTTGAGGGGGTGTAAGCGTAAATATAGTAACAAAATAACCAGTTTTATATATTTTAATCATGGTTGTTAGGCTTGGTAATCGAGTATTTATGTCCTGTAATCCATAATCTTTGCTTGTAATTAGTTTATTAATTAGTTAGGGGTTTTTTCTTGACCGTTATCTTTCTTCTTCTCCACACGCTTTCTATACTCTTTTTTACTCCCCTATATAGTCGTCTTTCACATTTCAGTCAATGTGGAAAAAGGAGCTTTCTTAACCTTAATTTGAATCGCTATAATCTCACACATAATAGGAATGGCATAAGTCCAACAAAGCTTACCAAAAAATATATATCTAAGCCTCACCATTTTCGAGAACATATGTCCATGGAGTATCAACCCATTCTTATGTTAGTGTCTAGTACCATATTCTTCTTCTTCTTCTTCTTCTTCATGTCGGGTTCTGCTGCAGTAGATACAATATCTGCATATCAACCAATCAAAGATGGCAGCTCCATTGTTTCAGAGGGAGAGACGTTTGAACTGGGCTTTTTTAGCCCCGGCGAGTCCAAGAATCGGCACCTGGGAATATGGTACAAGAAGATATCACCATTAACCGTTGCGTGGGTTGCTAACAGAGAGAAACCAATTATCGACACATCAGGCATGTTTGAACTCACTACAGAAGGAACCCTTCAGATACTTAGTCGTGATAACACTATAATCTGGTCATCAGATTCGATAGTATCTACAAATAATATAAATCCAGTGGCACAACTTCTCGACAATGGAAATCTTGTGGTGTGGGAAAATAGCAGAAAAGAGAATCTAATCTGGCAAAGTTTTGACTTTCCTGGTAACACGTTGCTACCAGGGATGAAAATCGGGAAGGATTTGACAACAGGAAGAGAGAGCTTCTTATCATCATGGAAAAGCCCTGATGATCCTTCTATTGGTCTGTATAAACTCTGGTTAGACCCGAATGGATATCCACAGTTATTTATGGAAAAAGGTCAAGTTGAACACGCTAGGGTTGGACCATGGAATGGTCTTTGGTTTCGTGGGCGTCCATTTGAAAACACAGGTCCAATTTTCTTGATCGAGTTTACTGTTAACGAGAAGGAGATGTATTATAGATTTACACTCAAGAGTTTTGTTTTTTTTAGAATGATTATTATGCATGATGGCATTATAATGCAGTCGAATTGGGTTGAGCGAACACAAGAATGGGCTGTGTATGGAAATATAGTTGTTGATACATGTAGTCTTTATGGACGATGTGGTCCTTATGGAATATGCACAGTTGAAAATCCGATTTGCAGGTGTATTGAAGGTTTTGAACCAAGAGTCCTAAAAGGATGGATTCAAGGAGATATGTCTGATGGGTGTAAACGCAAGAAACCTTTGAATTGTGGGACCAAAGATGTCTTCCATAAAATTTCAGGAGTGAAATTTCCAGATACACGTCATTCATCGTACAATGTGAGCATGTCTCGTGAAGAATGTGAGAAGGCATGCAGAAGGAATTGCTCTTGTACAGCTTACGCAGATTTAGATATCAGAAATGGGGGAAGTGGATGTTTGTTATGGTTTGATGATCTTATGGACATTCGAAAGTATGATGATAATCAACAACTTTACATAAAAATGGCAATCTCCGAGATACCAGGTACAATCTTTACACAACAGTGGATCCTACTACATGCTAAACATATTGATAATACAAAGGATGAGGATTTAGTTTATTTGGTTTGATTTGTAGTCTTACTAATTATTGTATTTATTAGAAAAAGGTAGATCCGGTTATAACAAGAAGAAGGCAGTTCTCATTATAGCGCTTTCGGTTTCTTCAGCAGCAATGCTTGTGTCTGCAGTAGCATATGCTTGTAGAAAGAAAATGAAAAGGCCTCACAAGAAAGGACGAGGTAAACATAAACAAGTCATTTTTTATGCTTCAAGAAATGAAACATTAACAAACATTATTTATGACTAAGTACAAGTTTGTATGAGTATGATTTTTGGAAGATGCATGTAATAATGACAAGTTGAAAGTGAACTTGTGTAGGGAACAGGTGGCAGACATTTGATAAGGATAAAGTTGAGATGGAAAACTTTGGTGAATTACCATTTTTCAGCCTGTATAGAATAGCAAAGGCTACTAATAACTTTAGCATTGACAATCAGATTGGAGAAGGTGGTTTTGGTCCAGTTTACAAGGTAACATATTGATGTTTTGTGAATAAAAGGCAATACTTGAGGAATTTTTCAATCACAAGCTCCAATATATAAATATATCTTTTAATTAGGGTGTGTTGGAAGACGGAAAAGTAGTAGCTATAAAGCGGCTCTCAGAAACATCCCAACAAGGACACGAAGAGTTCCAGAATGAAGTCATTTGTATCGCCAAACTTCAGCATCGGAATCTTGTGAAGCTCCTTGGATATTGCATTCATGGAAATGAAAAGATTCTAATTTATGAATACATGGATAACAAAAGCTTGGACTCGTTTCTATTTGGTTTGGTCCTCTCTAATTTCTTACATTTACACTTGTTGTGGTCGACTTGCATGTACTATAAGTAGTTCATATTGAACAGATGAAACTAGAAGTTCAATGCTTGATTGGCCTCAACGCTTTAACATCATACATGGTATGGCACGAGGTATTCTTTATTTACATCAAGATTCCCGCCTCCAAATCATCCATAGAGATCTCAAGGCAGGTAATATATTGTTGGACAACCAAATGAATCCAAAAATATCTGATTTTGGGCTTGCAAGAATGTTTGTAGGAGAGGATGCCACGGCTAAGACAAAGAAGGTGGTTGGAACACAGTAAGAATCTATAAAACATTTTAGCAATTCCTTCCAATGAAAATAGGACTTTTTCAAATAAAGTAGACACAAAATCCTAGCAATAATGTGTTTTTGAACTGATCTTGGGTGCAGTGGATACATTTCTCCAGAGTATGCAATACATGGACGTTTCTCAATAAAGTCAGATGTATTTAGCTTTGGTGTTCTTGTGCTAGAGATAGTAAGTGGGAAGAAAAATAAAGAATTCTCTCATGAGGCTCGTAGTGACAACCTTCTTGGACATGTAAGTTAACTAGGTAGAATAAAACCAATCTCATATTAACATCATCCTTTGGGCTTTGACATACTTATATGATCTATGATGGGTTTGGATCAGGCATGGAGACTCTATAAGGAAGGCAAGTCCATTGAACTCATGAGTGTGTCTTTACGCAACTCATGTGTCGTCTCTGAAATACAACGATCAATACATATTGGATTATTGTGTGTTCAACATCATCCAGAAGATAGGCCAACTATGTTATCAGTGGTTCTTATGCTCATAAGCGATGGTGTATTGCCTCCACCTAAACAACCAGCCTTTTTCACCGAAGAAAGCAATGGTTTACTTAACTCTGTTTCATCATTGGATGATGAATACATGATAACACTATTGTATCCTAGATAAATGGCCATATGTTCTTGGGTTCAATAGCTTCAATTGCCTTGTTCAACCTTTTTAGACAAGACATAACATCTTAACTTTGTGTCATGAACGCCAATCTCAATCTTAGTTTAGATGCATAATACTACACGCAATATAACAAAAGTGGTATGAAAAACTTTAAAATGAAGTTGACAGAGGTTCAAATCCTACAGACATCGGGTGGCTTGTCTTTAAAAAAATGTCATTTTTTTCATCAGGGATTATGTAATCCTGTATCAAGAGCATTATACACAGCCTCTAGTGATACACCTTCAACTATCAGAACCTTGTCCCTTGATTTTGAGCCAGCACCCAATGAAACTTGCCTCTTTTTTACCCCTATAACCTATACATAATATACATGGAAATAAATATATTTAGAAACTATAACTACAAATAAAATATTTAATGTAATATTGAGTTATTAACTTCATTCTATACAATCATTTAGAGAAAACTTATACAATATTAAGTATTACAAATTTATAAACAGAATTACCGAGCTTATAAAATCAAGGAGTGCAGCATTGGCTTCACCATCCTTTGCAGGTGCATCAATTTGTACTCCTAAAGCATCATCATCAAAATCTAAATTTCCAATACATGCAACACAGATTAGTAGTTTCAGCTTCAAAAGTAATGAAAGTTGTTTTGTATGTTTTCAGTTCTTGTATTAAACCTGAAATAGAAAAAAAAAAAAAAAAAAAAAACCTGTAATGGTGGCAACTTTAGAACCAGGTTTGGCATGTATGGTGATAGCTACAGATGAAGGGGGGATAAATCGCATACATCCAGGGAATTTGGTTGTAGAAGGTGGTGGAGGCGTTGACTCTGTTGACTTGGCTTTAGCTTTACCTTTTTTTGTTGGGGGCATTTTGGGGTTTCAAGAATCTGATAAATGAACTCCAATCAATGTTTATCAATTTATTAACAACTTAATCATCTATACACACATTGGTATAATGCCAAATAGAACAGCAAGATCAAGACAAGTTACTGTAATAGCTAAAATTTCAAAATGACTGATCGTAAAGACTTGATGGTAAGTAATGTTCTCATGATCTGACTGAAACGCTATGATTGATGTTATTCACAGCTTCACAAAAATGTTAATTGACTAATTATGCGAATAAAAATAGATTGGAGGCAGAGTAAAACCTAAATTTTGTTCAACTTCACGAATCCCCTATACAAACTGATTCTACTAATGAGAAACCACAGTAGAAATATTCAACTATCAGCTTTATCGGAATCAATGGGACATCGTAATTAAACATGCAGCACTTACCAGCTTGCAATACAGAAATTGAAATCGAGAGACGAACATAAAAATCCGTAAATCAGTGGATTCACACACGAACAAACAAGTTGAGTATGTTTCAACTCTCGATCATGGCCACTTTCGATTAGAGCTTGAAGGCTTCAACAGAACAATTTTTTTGACAACCTAATTTATCACAGAAATCATGATCGCCTGGAGACGAAGGAAACCAATATGGGAAAGAATCTCGGTAGTGTTCTCGGGAAGGAATGAAAAGGTTTATTTCCCGACTATTCTTTTCATTTTGTTTAAGGAAAATTTACAAATTTGGTCCTTTTTGTATGTCAATTATTGTGGATTTCATCCCCAAAACTATTTTTTCACTTGATTGTTTCTTTTATTATTATTATACATATTAAATGGGGACATGGCTTACGAATAGTAAATAGCGACATGGCTTACGAATAGTGTTTAGTTCTCATCTACAACTAATTTGCTTTTAACTTAAAAAGGTAATGAAGTTTTAAAAATATGTAAAAAATACCATTATTTTATTTTTAGTACTTAAAATACCATTAAAGTATATTTTTTATACACAAAATACCAATGAAGTACACATGTGTTCAAATAATACCTTGTGGGTAACCTATAATAGCCGGTAAAATGGTATTTTGTGTACAAAAAAAAAAAAAAAACAATGGTCTTTTTTGTACATTTTTGAAACTTCATTACCTTTTTAAGTCATTTTTCCTTCTTTGAATGTAATGGAAATTTAGCTACTTTTTATAAAGAACCTTCCACTTCACTTCGGTCACTACTGTTATTCATCGCCACCCTCCACCACCATGGCAAAACCCTTTTTCTTATTCTTCCTCCTAATCATCTGCCTACTTTCATCAACGCCGGAATCTCACCGGCCACCTCCGTTTCTCGGCAAATCCCCACGGCTTCTCCAAACCCAAAAATTCTTGTTCAGCCGAAGTACACTTACGAGACACGATACTTTGATCAGACTCTTGATCATTTCAGTTTCAATGATCTTCCCAAGTTCCAACAACATTATCTCATCAACTCCGATCACTGGGTGGGCCCAGGCCCTAGTCGTTTGGGCCCAATCTTCCTTTATTGCGGCAACGAAGGCGACATCGAATGGTTCGCTGCCAACACCGACTTCGTTTGGGAACTCGCCCCTCGTTTTGGTGCCATGGTCATTTTCCCCGAAGTAAAAGCCCTAATCACTTTACTCTACATTAATTTGTTCACTTGCAGACCTTTAATAATACAATTTTATCAAAAGCTGCATGATTTGATCTAGTGTCGATATTATGGTGAATCGATGCCATATGGAAGCCAGAAAGAGGCATACAAGAATGCTTCTACTTTAGCCTATCTAACAGCCGAACAAGCACTTGCTGATTACGCTCTTCTCATCACCGATTTGAAGAAAAATTTATCAGCCGAAGCATCACCTGTAATCTTGTTCGGCTGATCATACGGTGGAAGTAAGATCTTTTCCAACAATTTCAACAAAAATTAAACAAGCACTTGCTGATTACGCTCATCTCATCCCATTTACCTGAAGTACCTGGTTACCACAATGTTTTAGTTGAACACATGTGTATTTTGTTGGTATTCTGTGTACAAATAGTAACATTAAGGGTATTTTTTGTACTAAAAAAACAACAATGGTCTTTTTTGTACACTTTTGAAACTTCGTTACCTTTTAAAGTCATTATCCCTTTGCTTTAATGACGACATTGAGCCGACTCCAATACGCCCTGTTTCAAGTCGTCGTTGCATGACATTGCCTCTATCATCTTCCAATCCTCTGCTATCCTTCTCATGTGTCCGATTTCCTTTTTCTTATATGATCCTCGAATTTGTGTTCTCCCCCACGTGTTTTTTTACCACTTCGCTTACCGATCTTCTTCTTCTACATCATGTTTTCTTTCTTCATACCATCTAGGTTTTAGTTTGTAGTACACTGTCTTCGAATCAGCGTCTTGCCTTTTCCTTTGTTTATGCATTTTTCATAGCTTGGTATGTGACCCGCCTTTCACTTATTGCTGCTTCGATGACCATGTGCTAATTATCTCAAATTGGACCATAACCCCCATCTACTTATTAAACCCTCGAGTATCAATCTACTAATTGATAAGCAATGATTCTTGAGATGCACAATCCGTTAGATTCAAAGAGTAGGAGTACGAAGAAACATAATTTACTATAATTTTTACTTGATAGGGGTGAAAGTCATTAAGTAAGAAGCAGCGGGAATGTTAATATGTGCAAAATTGATGTATTACATAAAACTTTCTATTATCAAAAGGACAAACTCTTGTTGTGTGCATTATAGACAAAAGTCTGAGACAATGGAAGTATTTTGAATTAGATTAAACCATAATTTGTGATCGTATAATTCAAACCACAACCCAAGAAATAAAGATATGAATTGTTAAAAAATCTATATTTATGTGGTATAACTACATCTCAATATTTTATTATTAACATATATATATGCTTCTTTTTTACATGAAGATACACAATAGCAATAAAGAAATCCTATCCTCAAGTATGTGCTCTGATATTCTCCTTTTATGCATAAATCCATTAAGTCAAATTTCAGCTACATTAGTTTCGTTTCGATTTTTTTCCCAAATTCATGAAATCAAATGCAGGTGATTTGAGTTAGTACATGAAGTACCCCTTAGTCAATCTGATATGTTGTGTCAGCCTGAGATCATGTGGTATTCCGAGATGTTATAGAGCCCGAGATGGAACTAGTTTCCGAAGTGAAGACCTTTCTGAGATCATTTTGCATTTGGAAGTATTTGAGTATGTGATGCATTTAAGGTGTCTAGTACTATTTTGTATTGTTCGAAGTTTCGTGTACTATAGTACAAGAGACAAGATCAACAACAATGGTTGTGTCATGCTATTGATCTTCGGTCCTCTCTCAGTTCACGCACACCTTTTATGTATTTGTATTTTAGTAACTCCATGGCTATATCAGGAGTTGTCATCTTTTGTTTTGGCAACACCCATAACTGATTATCCATTTTACCAGTGTACACCTTTTACCCCCCATTAAAGAAATCATTCAGTCAATCATTTCTATAACATTCTTCTTATTCTTATATGCTTTACATTGCTCATTCTTAATAATATCTATCTTGAGCACTTTTTGAAGTTAATCATTTCAAAATTGATTGGTATACCAGACCTAACTGGATCTTTCATTATTAGAAACCATTGATGTAAAATTAATTAAAGGTTTGATTTTTCAAACCTTGTCCGTCTAATTCCTAGTTCTCACAATTGATATCAGAGCTTGAGTGGTTGTCCTTTCAATCCATAAGAACAAATTATACTTGATTGAAGATTACCTTGGTATCTCAATCATTTCTGTGTTTCAGATAAAGTTATTCTATATACCACTTTAGCTTTGATATCTTAATATCAATGGTTGCTTCTATCATCTTCCAATCCTTACTTAAACCAACTAAGAATTTACCAGCTTATCATCCTAACATTCCGAACCGCTACCCGGAACCTCAAGAAATTCTGAACTCAGCCAAATCAAAGATTGTGTGTCACAAATGTGGTCTTGGTAACCATTATGCAAAGAACCGCTTGGCTGATGTTCCTCAGAAACCAAAGGTGAAAGATTTTGCCTACTGTTCTCGGAGAGCACGGGAACTTACAGAAAGTGAAAAGGCATTTGTCACTAAGGTTTCATGAAATTTTGATGAGTATTGGTGTTAAGGTGATAAGGATGAAGGGAATTTTGGTCAAGACTAGTGTCTTATGGCTAGACAAATGATCAAGTGTGATGAAGGCTATTGGTCTTCTAGTTTTGAAGCTGATAATGAGGATACTAGGCCAAACTACTACATGGAAACCAACGATCCATATGGAAGAAGCATCATCCAACAGGTAATATCCGTGATTACTGATAATAATTTTGATTAGTATATCTGTGAACCTTATCTAACTTAAATTCAATCAATTATGACGATTATTCTTAAATCCTATGAGTTTGCCATAGAAGTTAGTGAGAAGTTGGATAGTGAGTTAAACCACCTTAGATTATGACTCAAAGAACACAAGCTTAAGATTGAATTTTTGGAGCGTGAAATTGTAATAGCTAGGGACAAATGTATCATCCTTAATGACAAATGTGAAATTTCAGTTAGTGAAAGAAATCTATTAGTTAAAGAAAATATGTGTCTTAATGTAAAAACTGATGCTCTGCATAAATATTGTAATGTTCTTGAAGCTAATGAAAGAATGACACACTTTTCGTCATCCCTGGTCTAAAGCACCTGGTCTAGGAAGAGATTTTCCGAAACCTATTGCTCGTCCTCTAAAGGAACTTCAGAATTTGACATTTATGGGAGACATTCCGAATCACACTTATTCAGATACCCTTTTCTTGCCATTATATAAATCATTAATTCCTAATTTCAAACCAATCACTATTACATGTCGTGATTCAAAGCAACTTCTGCCTCTGATAACCGTGGACCTGAATTAGTCTTCGGAACTTCCACATAATACAGGGGGTACTGGAATCCATCTTCCGAAATCTAGTCCCCTAAATAATTGTGTTGCCGAGGAAATTCCTCCTAATACAAACGAACATGGCTTAGGCTATCTTAACTCGTTCTGGGCGTCCCTTAATAGTGATAAAGATGAAAATATTTGGTGTGATGATGACTCCTAATCTGATTCCTCCATTTTGGACTCTACAGTTGTTTCTAAGACCACCTTAGTTCCAATTAAGCATTGTTTTAACAATCTGTCTATAGGACAAACTTCTAAGTTATCATCTGAATTTATTAAAAAGTCCTGATTGAACAAAAAGGATATCGCTAATTCATAAACTAAGGCTAGGAAATCTCTTGAGAACGAAACTGCATCAAGAAAAAGCTCTAGGTTCCTTGAGAAGTCTATTAAGAAAGTGTCATAGAAAGCAGTTAGCCGAGCTACTAGGAATCACAACACCTATATTCCTTTCAAAATTCTTAAGATACCATATGTTCGTGTTATTTCGGACTCCTTTGCTTCTACTAAGAAAAATTCAACAAAATCTATCAATGTTGTGAACTCACCAAAACGAGTAACTCACCTCGGAATGTATCCTCTTCGGTATTTATTGCTACCTTGGATGGAAAAATCTTTACACAAAATCAATTTCAAAACCAAATGCGCTTCCGAAAGTAGTAAATAAAGGAAAAGATACAGAGAACTCCCATGTTCAGAACCCGTCAAAAGGATCAAATCTGAAATTTGAATGGAAGGTTAAAAGGAATGAAAATTCAACTGAACCATCTTGGAACATAGTTTTCCTAAAC